TAGACAAGTTCAAAGGGGAGGGTCCCAGGTAGCTGAGGCCAGAGGTCACAAGGCTGACACCTGCTGGGCTGCATCTGGCCTACAGATTATTTGGTTTGGCCAGCCTTTAAAGTATCTGGAGATTTTACTTAAAAAAAGAAAAATAAAAAAAGTCAGCAGACAAGCAGCTCTGGGCCACAGTCCCATTAGGCTGGTGTTGGTGCACTGTGGGGTGTGGCCAGACCCACCGCTTCCTGTTGCTCCCGTGAGGCCAAGCGGCTGGAGGAGCCACTGTCTCATACTCAGCCCACTTCTGCCTTCTGTGTCACTTGTGAGGCCGCTGGAGGCCTTTGTATATACAATTTTAAATACAGTCTTGCAGAGAAGTTCCTGTCCTGCTCCTGTCTCACCCATATTCAGTGTCAGGGAGAAGTTGGTTTTTTTTTTTGCCAGTCATGTTGCCTGAACTCTGGGCCTGGGTGCTGTCTCTCAGCTCTTCAGCTCAATGCTAGTGCTCTACCACTTGAGCCACATCACCACTTCCAGTTTTTCTGCTTATGTGGTGCTGAGGAATCGAACCCAGGGCCTCATGCATGCAAGGCAAGCACTCTACCACTGAGCCACCTTCCCAGCCCCAGAGAAGTTGGGTTTCTACATCCCTTGACCCCACACAAGGGTCCCCTATCACCCCAGACCTTGAGCCCAGCACAGAGCCTGTGGTGGGCCGGTTCTGCTGGCGCCTGGTCGGTGTGGTGTGTCTTGTTGGAAAGGCTCCTGGAGACAGATATGCCCCCTTTTATAGGCCAAGATCACCTAGGGAGGAAGAGACAGAGTCTTAACTCTCCTAGGCAGTATGGGAGATGGCACATGGGGTCTGGCATAGCTAGGAGGCACTCTACCAACTCCATCCCCAGCCTTCCCCAGGATCTGGGCCACAGGGGTCAAAGGCTATATTCTTGGTTCTTGCCCCTCCCTCCCCTCCCTCCCTCCCTCTCTCCCTCCCTCCCTCCCTCCCTCCCTTCCTTCCTTCCTTCCTTCCTTCTTTCCTTCCTTTCTTCCTTCTTTCCCTCCCTCCTTCCCTCCCTCCCTCTCTCCCTTCCTCCCTTTCTCCCTCCCTTCCTTTCCCTGCCTTTTCTTTCTCTGAGATGGGAACTCAAACTTGGTACCTGCCATTTTCTCTCATTGGCTAGCACTCTATCAACTGAGCCAGGCTTCCAATCCCTTTTAGTCTTTGCTCTTCCTGAGAATCTTCTCCTTATGGTCAATGGACAGATCTGGACCTTTAAGAAAGTTTAGCCCACAGCTCAGAAGGCCCAGCTAGTAACATCTGGCAAGATCATTTGGAAAGGGAACCAGCATTAAAAACACACAATCACACTTTTATGTTATAACAGCCCTGGTTATAACAGCATTTGGAAAATCCAGCAAATTAAAGAAAATAACCACGGCCTTATGAAGCCTGGCTTGCACAGCCTGGTTGGTGGCAGGGGCGGGGGGGTGGGGCAGGGGAGGTGGAGGGCAAAGGTAGTTAATGTTGTATTTAAAACTCACTTTAGACTTGAGCCTTACACACGTTCTATAGATCGTAATGCATGGAAAATGTTCTTTAAAAATATTTCCTCAGTCAGAGTGGAGTTTAGGGTAGGGCAGTAGGCTGGAAGAGGGGGAAAACCTCTCAGTGAGGTGGTGGTGCTTGATAAAAATAATACTTAGGCCTGGCACTGGTGGCTCACGCCTGTAATCCTAGCTACTCAGGAGGCTGAGATCTGAGGATCGAGGTTCAAAGCCAGCCGTGGCAGGAAAGATTGTGAGATTCTTATCTCCAATAAACCACTCAGAAAATTGGAAGTGGTACTGTGGCTCAAGTGGCTCAAGTGGTAGAGTGCTAGCCTTGAGCTGAAGAGCTGAGGGACAGTGCCCAGGCCCAGAGTTCAAGCCCCACGACAGACAAAAAAAAACCTAATAATAATACTTAGGCCGGGCTCTGGTGGCTCATGTCTGTAATCCTAACTTCTCAGGAGGCTGAGACTGGAGGATCATGGTTCAAAGTCAGCTCGGGGAGGAAAGTGTGAGACTCTTACCTCCACTAAACTATCAAAAAAACCCCAAAAAACAAAAAAACAAAACTCAGAGATGGAGCTGTGGCTTAAATGGTAGAGTGCTAGCCTTGAGCAAAAGAAGCTCAGGAACACCTAGGCTCTCAGTTCAAGCCCCAGGACACACACACACACACACACACACACACACACACACATAATCTATCTATCTATCTATCTATCTATCGATCGATCGAAAGAGTAAATATATATAGTATTATATTATTCACATGTTAGTATTATTAGTATATTTAGTATATATTTAAATGTTGAAGTGTGTATATATCTTCACAAATATATACAATTTTAAATACAGCACAATATTAACCCAGGCTTCTTGCAGAGAAGTTCCTGTCCTGCTCCTGTCTCACTCATATTTAGTGGCAGGGAGAAGTTGGGTTTCTACATCCCTTGACCCCACACAAGGGTCCCCTGTCACCCCAGACCTTGAGCCCTGCACAGAGCCTGGTCAGTGTGGTGCGCTCCCTGGCTGGCCTTGTTGCAGAGGAAGGGGTCAGAGGGTAGTGACAGCTCTGGCTTGTCTCGCTTTCTCCCTTTCCTGTGTCACACCCTGCCTCGGCTCATACCCAGGAACCGTGAAAGCCCAGCCTGCTGTGCAGGAATGGAAACACGTCTATCAAGTTTCACGGAAGTCATTTGAGGGGCCCACGTCTGGCCAATGGCGGCATTCAGTTCGGTGGTCCCAGGCCCGGCTGTGGGGTTCATTTAAGATGGCGAACCGCCAGTGCTCTTTCCTGCAGCTGCCAGGGCCCTGACAGCTACGAGACCCTGGGGACCCCAGGCCTGTAGCAGGTACCGTGCAGGCCCAGAGCCAGGCCAAGAGGGGGGGAGGGGTGTGTGTCTTGTTCCAATCTTTCATTGTACTGGCTGCTCCTTAAATGGTCACAGTGTGTTGAACAGAGCCCTCTATGGCAGCCAAGGGCCTCTCAGCCCACCAGACCTGCTCTTTCAGGGCTCGTTTTTTGGGGGCACTACTGGAGACCAGGAGGAACAACCCTCTCCCCTGGCTTGGTGGCCCCCAGGCACCTGGAGGCAGGGAAAGAGGGCTGACCTGGGTTGGATTCCAGCTCTGTCTTTCTCTTCTCTATTACTTTGGGGAAGGTCAACCTCTATTTCTCTACCTATAAAATGGAGTGCCCCTGCTTAGCCCTGGCTTCTTCACTCGGGCTGAGTGGAGGGCTGGCACAATGCAGGCTGCACGGAGACTGCTGTGGCTGGAGAAGGGGAGGGATTCAGGAAGGCACCAGGGAGGGCACTTCACATGGGGCTGGGCTTTTGGCTGCTGAGGGAAAACAAATGTTGTGAAAGGCGAGAATAGCAGCAACAAGAGCTCCCTCTTTCCACAAGGTCCTCTCTGTGCAGGACAGGAATTAGAACACCATTTACAGATAAGGAAACTGAGGCACATGCAGGAAGAGAGTTCAGCTCACGATTCTCTAGTGGTTGGAGGCAGCCACAGTGGGGACTTGAGATGTGCTGTGAGTGACATGGACTCACATGTGACAGAGTCTGCTATTTAGAGTTCTCTCATCTTCTGCAGAGGATGGAAAGCACCTCTACTGCATAGCAGGCTGGCTTTGGGAGAAAGGAAGGGACTGTCTGAGCCTTTGGGAGGAGACCAAATGGCAGTCGGATTTAAAGTATAAAATGAGCTGAAGAGCACAGGGACAGCGCCCAAGCCCAGAGTTCAAGCCCCACGACCGACCAAAAAATACTTTAAAAATATTTTTTTAAATAACATTAGTGGAGTAAAAATATATTTTATGTAATTAATATGTGCTTGCCAAGTGGGGCACGGATATTTCACACTTGTAATCCTAACTACTCTGGAGGTTGAGATCTGAGGATCAAGGTTTGAAGCTAGCCAAGACAAGAAAATTGGTGAGACTCTTATCTCCAAATACACACACACACACACACACACACACACAGAAAGCTGGGAGTAAAGCTGTGGCCCAGAGATAGAACACCAGCCTTTGTAAGCAAAGGCTAAGGGACAGTGCCCAGGATCTGAGTTCAATCCCCAATGATAGCTGGGGGGGGGGGGGGGGAAGGAGAGGGAGGGAGGAAGAAAGAAATAGAGTGTGAGAGAGAAAGAATGTGAGAAAGGAAGGAAGGAAGGGAAGGAGGGTGGGAGGAAGGGAGAAAGAAAGTAAGCAGGCTCTGGGTTCTGTCCCCAGCACTACAATAAAACCCTGTGTTCTTATGTATTTATATATTATTATTTATATAAACATCTGATTTTTTTTTTTTTGGGTCCAGTCGTGGGGCCTGAACTCTGGGCCTGGGAGCTGTCCCTCAGCTCTTCAGCTCAAGGCTAGCGCTCTACCACTTGAGCCACAGCGCCACTTCCGGCTTTTTTCTTTTTACTTATGTGGTGCTGAGGAATGGAACCCAGGACCTCATGCATGCAAGGCAAACGCTCTACCACTGAGCCACCTTCCCAGCCCAAACATCTGATATTATTAGCTGTAGTTACTAACTGTACTATAAGAAATATAACTGTATTTATATGAATGATATAGAAACCATCCAATGAAAGCATCATCGATGTGGTTTTAGAGTTGCTTTCTATTTGTGCCAGCTGACAAATTTTCACATACAGTGGTGATATTATCGTGATTGTAACATGACCACAACACATAACCATAATCCCAATTCCAGAGATGGCTCCTGGTTAGTGAGCACCTGCTAAATGCTAGTCTTGTGCAGAGAATTTACACAGGTAATAATCTCATTCAATCTTGTTTAAGTATAATTACTGTCCGTTTCACACATGAGGTGTGGGGCATGGTGAGTGAAGGAATCAGCGAGGACAAACAAAAAATAGGTGATAGAAATAGCATTTGCACCCAAGCAGGCCGGCTGCTTTCTCATCATCAGCAAGCCAATAGAAACTCAACAATGTCCATTGGGAAAAAGTGAGTGGATTTGAGAAGAAACAGTGCAGGTGCCCAAAAGGAAAGTTAAAAATCACAGAAATGACAGCAAATGACCAAATTTCCCCAAATAAGGCTGAGCACTGGTGGCTCACATCTATAATCTTAGCTTCCTTAGGAGCCTCAGATCTATAGGACCAAAGTTCAAGGTCAGCCTGAGCAGAAAAGTTCTAGACACCATTCTCCAAAATAACCAGCAAAAAGCCAGGCTAGAAGTATGGGACAAGTGATAGAGCACTGGCCAAGCAAGCATACAAAGCCAAGCATCAGCCCTTGACTTCAAACTCTGATTCCCCCCCAAACAAAAATAAATCTGCAGACAAAACAAATAGTCCAGCCTGGTGTGCATATGAGAAAAAGGCTCAGAGAGGGAAGGGACCTGCTCAAAGCTGCAGAAGTGAGACAAAAGGCAGGATTGGATGGCATTCTGGGAGAAAGTGGGCTCCGATGCTCGTCCAGGCCAACGCTGGGTGCTCAGGAAGGGATGCTTTCCCACTGGGCTAGGGGAGGGATTTTCAGGGTGGCAGAATAGGACAGCACTTTTTGGTTTGGTGTTCTCTTCCAATGCCAAACCCTGACCATCGCCACCTTCTGTAGTCCTGGGGATGGCAGAGACAGGAGGCAGGGGAGCACTGTGGCTTTGTTACCTTTTTGTTATCCTCTTTTCAAGGGTTCTGTGTGTAAAAATGATTCTCCTAAGCCAGCTCTGTGTACACTGAGTCTTTGTGCATTCCCTTCCCTTTCTGTACTGCACCTCAGCAACAGGTGTCTAGAGATTGCCGCCAGTCAGGAGCCGCCTGAATGGCTTCCATTGTACTTTTTAATACTTACAAAGGAATCCAGGTGAGGTGATGCATGTTTGTAATCCCAGAGCTTGGGAGACAGAGGAGCAGTGTGAGTTTGAAATCTAGCTTCGACGAACAAATAGGAAAGAGGACCTGGTGTGTTGAGCTGTGTGTTCCTTTTGTCTTGCTGCTGTGACAAATGACCACCAATGTAGATGCTTAAAGCAACACAACTTTATCATCTTGCAGTTCTGCAGATCAGAAGCCCCATAGGTCTTGCTGGGCTAAAATCTCAGTGTGTGTGTGTGTGTGTGTGTGTGTGTGTGTGTGTGTGTGTGTACTTATTGGGGCTGAAAGTCAAGACCTTGCACTCTATCTTGGCCTTTTTTGCTCTCTACCACGTAAGCCACACCCCCACTTCCAGCTTTTTGGTGGTTACTTGGAGGTAAGAGTCCTGAGGACTTTCCTGCCCAGGCTGGCTTTGAACTGGGATCTTCAGATCTCAGTCTCCTGAGTAGCTAGGTGCCACAGGCACTGACTCTCCTATTTGTGAGGATTCTTGGGAGTGCCAGAGACCACCGTGTGGGCCTGGGAGCAGATGCCTGGCATGTGGAGAGCAGACTTCCACCCTGAATTCTGCCCACAAGCTCCATATCCATCTGCCCAAGGGAAATCAACCGCAGGCTGCCGCAAGAGACCCGGGCATCTTCCGGGACTTTGAGCCTGCTACACCTGCAGGGTGTCAGGGACCCGCAGCAGGTGTGGGACCTTCTATGACATGGGTACTAGAGAAGCGGACAGAGGGGGACATCTGAGCCCACAGAAGACAGGTGTGAGGTCTGAGAGAGCTTGGGAGAGGTGAGGGCTGACCCCGTTATAGAAGAAGAAGGAGCTGACCCGGTGAGGAGAGCGTGGGAGGGGGAGGCATTCAGGCTGGTGCTGGCGGTGAGTGACAGGATACCATTGTCACCCTGGTAGAAACGGAAAAGTCAGGGAGGTTGGGGTGAGGCTGGGGCAATGCGCAGAGGCTGCTGGGGAGATGGTGCAAGGGAGGCGCAGGTGTGGGACATTCTCAAGTTCAGCGGATGGGGCGGGTGGGGGAGGGGTAGGAACGGAAATCAGGGAGCAAAGCCTTACACGAAAGTTCACAGGGGCTGGAAAGTCCTTGTATAACTAAAGTATGTTAAGTGTGTGTGTGTGTGTGTGTGTGTGTGTGTACTGTCAAGCTGGGCTTGAATGCAAGCCTTGAGCTGTCCCTTAGCTTTTTTCTCTCAAGGCTGGTACTCTTCCACTTGAGCCACAGCTCCACTTCCAGCTTTTGAGTGGTTAATTGGAGTTCAGAGTCTCATGAACTTTCCTCCCTAGACTGGCTTTGAACCTCAATCCTCAGATCTCAGTCTCCTGAGTAGCTGGGATTACAGGTGTGAGCCAACAACAGTACCTGGCTTGATTTTTCTTTTTTTAAAGAGAACAAAAGCCGCAGGATGGGGTCAGTACCCTTTCATTGCTACCTCCATTACGTTGTATCCCCCCCTGTTCCCCCACAGGAGCCCCCAGCCCTGGACACAGCCATCCAGCAGGCCTTGGCGGGTCTATACCCACCCTTTGAGGCCACGGCGCCTACCGTCCTGGGTCAGGTGTTCCGGCTCCTGGACTCTGACTTCCGAGGGGATGGGCTGAGCTTCCTCCTGGATTTCCTGATCCCTGCCAAGCGCCTGTGTGAGCAAGTTCGAGAAGCAGCCTGTGTAAGTTGGGAGGGTGCCGGGTGGGGGACAAGCACTCTCAGAAGAGAGAGGGGCTAGAGGCCAGCAAAGAAGGAAACAGCCTAGGTGTATCATGAAGGTGTGGGGTGATTTTCCAAGGGCTGCTGTCAGCCTCCCAAGTGGAACAAGAGGGTCACTTGCTCCTCTGACCCCTAGGGATCAATGATGTTTGCACTTCCACTGGCAGGAAGGAAGGCTTCCAGGGAGAAGTGTCCAAGGGGCTCCCACAGCCCCAGAAGCCTGCCCAGGAACTGACCCTGTGGCCATCAGCAGGCTGCCACAGTAGGACAGCATCCAAGGAAACAGCAGAGACTGTCCCAGAACTTTCCTGGAGCCATGGAAGAATCAGGACTCTCACTCTTACCACAGGCCACCCTTCAAACTCAGACGTTCAGATTTGCTCCTTCTAGGGCAAAGTGGAGAGGAAGATGTGTAGGACAAGGCTTAATGGCCATAAATAATAGAAGCCCTAGTTAGATCAGACCAGAGCCCTGGAAGATCAGTTCTTCCAGGCCAGGTTTCCAAAGACTGAGCCTGAAGAATCTCTAGAACGACTCCCTGCTTTGAAAAGGAAAATGAATTCTTCCCCAGCAACTACAGATAGAAAAAAAAATCTCAAGGAAGTATCCTGATTGGTCAGACTTGATTGAGTCACATGCCCATTGCCAGACCAATCGCTATGACCCAAAGGAAGAGATGGTGGATTGGCCTAGCTTGAGTTCTCCATGGTCAGAGAATGAGACTGGTTTAAGCAAAGAGAGGAGCTAAAACCCTCTGATGCCCAGTACAGGAACTTCCCACACCCCTCACAAGTTTATCCAACATTCCCTGCAACACTGTCTTTAAATAACATCCCTCCACCCCCACCTCAGCTGTGAGAACCTCAGGGAGGTCCTTAGGCCCCACCAGCCTTTCTTGAGTTGCTCATTGCTTGTCTGAGATACAGCAGATGAGGAACAAAGCGTAGTGCTGGGACTGCATCATTTAGGAGCCAGTATGGAGATGGTGAGTAAGATAAGGGAAGAGAGATCATCCATTCCATATGCTCAGCACAATGCCCACATGGCACACAGGCTCCTCAGGGCATAGGAATTGGTATTGCAGAAGTTGCTTCTCACAGAAGCATCTGTAGCCTGCTGCCATATGTCCATGCAGATCTACTCCCATCTATATTTCTTCTTCCTGACAGGCCACACAACTGCCACTTCCTTTATTGGGACATTTAGACCACAATTACACTGTACCCTGCCTCATTTCTCTCAATAGCAAGGTTACAGCTTTTCCACGCTTCTATTTTTTAATTATAGGCCACCTTCATTTGGCTGTAATTATGGGCAAATTCATGCCACATCAGAGTAGAAGGGAGTGGGATGGGATTTCTAATAGAGCCTCTAGGGTCAACTGCCCAGGTTCAAATCCATAGCCCACCATTGCGCCCTTGGGGATTTCTGTCACCTCTCTAAACCTCAGTTTCCTGATGCATAAATAAGAACAGTAGCAGCAACATGGAATACACTGCTGAGTTACTGTGAGTGCCAAACATGACCAGCACAGCTGGCCCTGGTACAGTGCTTTGTTTGTACAATATAACTGAGCTGATTTGTTCAATGAGAATGTGATGACAAGCAGACTGTGTTGTGATGTACAGAGGGATGGATGGCAGGTGGTGTCACAGACTCACAAAAGATGACAGATAGAAAGCATCCAAACTCTAAAGCAGTTAGGAGCTGGTTTTACCCTATGGGGAAAATATAGTCAGAGTTCACCATGGCATCACTTAATAATCACAGGAAATATCTGCTTACTTAGCAGGAAGTTTGGTGTCACTCTCTGGGACTTGCAAGTTAGAGGACTCCAGACTTCCAAGAGTCACGTAGAGAAATGACCTGCTTTCAATCAATGGAGTGTAGTTTATGTTACTGCCACTTGGTGTCACTGTCGAACACTGGTTCTACATAGCCCAGTAGAGAGGCTCTAAAGAAAAGGATTCTTTTTGTTGGGGGGAGTGGAGGGGGGCAGGTGTGCTGAATGTGGGGTGGGGGGCTGAACTCGGCCTGGGTGCCATACCTCAGCTTTTCAGCTCAAGGCTAGCACTCTACCACTTAAGGCGCAGCGCCACTTCTGGCTTTTTCTACTTATGTTGTGCTGAGAAATTGAACACAGGGCCTCATCGATGCAAGGCAAGCGCTACACCACTGAACCACCTTCCCAGCCCCCAGAAAGGGATTCTTGTACCTGTTCAAAGACTTTCTGGCACCTTCTCCTGTTTAAAAAGAGGGAAAGGGAAACAGGAAGACACAGCGAGCTGCTCAGTTCTTGTGGCCCACACCTGCAATCCTAGCTACTCAGGAGGTGAGATCAGAAGATCGCAGTTCAAAGCCACCCTGGGCAGGAAAATCTATGAGACTCTATTTCCAATTAACCACTAAAAAGCTGGAAGTAGAGCATGGTCCAAGTAGTAGAGCAACAGCCTTGAGCAAACAACAACAACTCAGACACAGTGCTCAGACCCTGAGTTCAAGCCCTAGGAAGAGAGTGCATGTGTTTGTGCACGCGCACACACACGCACACGCACACACACACACACACACACACACACACACACGCACAAATGATAGAACTAGCCACTAGTAGATGATAGATAGATAGATTTGCCTCATCTGCCATCTTCTTACCCACAAATGGAGAATTAAGCATTAAGCCCACAAATAAACACTCAACTCCAAAGAGTTCTTTGGGCCCAAAGTTAAAAGGCTGGCATAGCATTTTCAAGGTCAACTGGTGAGTTCACAACAGAATTGGATTTCTTGACTTCTCAATATTGCTTTTACTTTGCCCAGTAACTGCTTTGCTTGAAAACTAGCAAGGAGCATAAAAGCAGCCCAGGACTATTTTTTTTTTTGTCAGTTGTGGGGCCTGAACTCTGGGCCTGGGCGCTGTCCCTCAGCTCTTCAGCTCAAGGCTAGCACTCTACCACTTGAGCCACAGTGCCACTGCTGGCTTTTTCTGCATATGTGGTGCTGAGGAATTGAACCCACAGCCTCATGCATGCAAAGCAAGCACTCTACCACTGGGCCACCTTCCCAGCTCCTAATTTCATTTTTAATTGACAAAGCCCACCATTTTCTAAAGGGCAACTGTCCCAAAGGCATGCAGGTGAATAGTTACTGAGTATCAGCCTATGAGAAGTCAAGTGTCCTGCTGTTCTCACTCATTCATGATCCATCTCACGTACTCTTTCCGTCATATATTATCTTTTCTACTTGCAGATAGGCAGCTGGAGCCTTGGTGCACTTAAGTAATTTTCATTGGTTAGCTACTTAAACCTTCTGTACCCATGTCTCTCTGGCTTTAAAAGTAGGGGCTAAGGCTTGATCTGGCTTGGGAGAAGTCTGGCAGTAGATGAGAATAGGGCGGGAGAGGAGACAAGCCAAGCAAGAAGAAGGCACATGGGAGCTGCATATGGAGGAGCACCTGGTGCTCAGAGCTTGGGTTAGTAGAGCAGCAAGCATTTCCAAGTTCAGGGCCAAGATGGCATGAGTCAAGAGAGCCTACCCTGAGAGTGAGGGCCTCTTCACTGCCATGCCCTGAGCACCTCTCCCGCCTCTCCAGAGTCCTCTGCATGTGCAAGGGTCCGTGAGAAGGAAGGAGACCTTGGGATGAGGTCCTTCCTGGCCTGACTCTGCTGCCCTCTCCTTCTGCCTGCAGGACTCATATGTCCATCGTGTCTTCTTGCATGAGGGCTGGCCGCTGTGTCTGCGGGACGAGGTGGTGGTCCACCTTGCTCCCCTCAATCCCCTCCTGCTACGTCAGGGTGACTTCTACTTCCAAGTGGAGTCCTGGGAGGAGCAGTCTGCCCGCATGATGATTAAGTACCTCTCACTGGACCTCCGCACTGTGGACAAGAGGCCCATTATGGAATCTTCCTACCCTTTCCTTTTCACCCAGCAGTGGCTGGAGACCATCAACAGCAGCTTCCAGGGAAGTCCTTTGCATAACTGCCTGGTGGCTTCAGAAAACGGGATTGTTCCCGTCCCTTGGAGTAAGATCACTAGCCCGATATTTGTGGATGACAGATGCCAAACAGTGAAGGTCCCCTCCCCCGCTGAGGACACTCTTCAATTGGAGGCATCTCATGCAAGCAACCCCCCAGAGCTACAGTCCACTAGCTCTCCAGGCAGCCAGCTGTTTCGGGCCCAGAGTTTGAGCAAGGGTAAGGACAAGACATCTGTGACCAAGTATCCAGGCCTCATCAAGGTTGAGCAAGCTAGGCCCGGAGAAGTGGCCTTCAGGATGGATGGCGTGGTCAGCCAGAGTTTGGAGGGAGACTATGTGGCTCTTGTGAGCTTCTCCCAAGAGAGTAGAGGGAATTCTTCCAACAGGCAAGTGGTGACATCCAGCAGGTGGACTTTGGGGACCCAGGAGGAACTATCTGGATTTACAGAGATCCCTATGTCTCCAGGGAGTCTGTCTCTCCAAGGGTCCAGTGTAGGACCTTCCTGGGACCACCAGGCTCATACTAAACCTGCAAGCTCTGAGGAGGGGCCCTGCGCTTTAGGCTCCAAGAGAAAGGTCAGTCACCAAGCGCCTGTCCACCGTTCAGAGCCACAGTCCCCAGAGCCCTGCCTTGAAGTCCTTGAGATGCTGCCGGTCTGCACCTCTGACCTTGGGACAAGTGTCCCCGAAGAACCAGGTGTGTCTAAGACACGAGGACTTCTAGAAAGCCCAGAGTCCATGACCAGGCCTGGGCCAAGACAAGCATCCTCTCCCCGCCTGTCCCCAGCCTCCTCTGCCTGTGAAACAAAGATGGAGAAGACCATGCAGGAAGATGGGGGTGCTCCCAAGCCATCGACTCAAGCTGTGAAGAACACCTCTTCGTCCTCTGAGTCCCCTCTTGCAGGGCTCAAATTCTCTTTCTTGAAAGGGCAGAAGCTACCTCTGGTGTCTGAGGGGAAGTCTATAATCCAGCATGATCTATCTCAGAAAATCCCATGCCCTCTCTACTCTGCCATGCCCTCAGGAAAAGGTAAGATGGCTTGCAGGTGGTTTTCAGGGTGAGGGAGCAGGACCCAGCAGGCTGGCTTGGTTTCAGGGTATTTTTTGTGCTTGGTGGAGCCTGTGAATGGCTTCCAGTCAGAGGTCTGGGATTGGGAAAAGGAATTGTGGACATTTACATGCCAGTGTCACCACGCACAGGCTGTGTGGCGTCACCTAGGCTCTTCATTGCTCGGAGCGCAGGTCTCTTGGCCTGTGCAGTGGGGATCTCACCTACTTATAGAGCTGCTTTGATGGTTCACAGATACCAGATATAAAGAGTCCAATGCAGCACCAGACCCAGGATAGATCAGATAACACACTGTATGATCAGTTGGGAGGCAAAATGTTTCCCTCAGGAAATCCATCTTTTGACCAACATCCTTCTCTGTTACTGCTTTTCCTCAGATGGGACAACTTCCACCAGAACATCTGGACCTGCTGGTGGATCAGACCCCCTGTCTGCGGGGCCAGTTGGCTTTCCAGAAGCTTCCTCAACCCTCCTAGAAAGAAGCACCAGCTCAGAGGAGGAGCCCCAACGGCCTGCACCCAGGATTGGGGCTCTGTGTGTGGAGCTTCTCCACTCCAGGATAGCCTGTCTGCCAGGTTCTGGGCTCTGGGGAAAGGAGAGGAAAGAGAGGAGAGAGAAGGGAAGAGAGAGGAAGAAGGAGGAAGGGAAAGGAAGGGAGGGGAGGGAGCTGACATCCCAGGCTATCTCAGAAGCTGGAGGATGGAAGGATGCAGGGGAAGTCCAGGAGGCCTTCATCCTAGGCCAAACCTACCTGATCTCAGGTTCTTCTTCCCAATGAAGAATTTGGATTAGATGAAAACAATTTCTAGGCATCCTTCCATCTACCCACCTTTACTTTGTTTTGTAATCCATCTATCCATCTAACCACCCATCCACTCACTTATCCATCCATCCATCCATCCATCCATCCATCCATCCATCCATCCATCTATCCATCTCTTATCATCTATCTGCTCACCCACCTATCCATCCATCTACTCACCTTTACTCTGTTTATAATCCATCAATCTGTCCATCTATTGATTTATCTATCTACTCACGTACTGGCCCATCCACACATTGTTTCTGCCTCTAATCCAGTCCTCCATCCATCTACCCACCCACCTTTCCTCTGTCTAGTAATCCATCAGTCCAGTTAACCATCTATCTACCTATCCATCCATCCACTCCCTCTACCTGCCCATCCACACTCTTTCCTCTATTATCCATCTATCCATCCATCCACCCATCTTTCCTCTGTCTAGTAATCTATCAACCCATTTAACCATCCATCCATCCACCTACCCATTCATCAACTCACCTCCCCATCCACCCACTTTTCTCTATTCTCCACCCATCTATCTACCCATCTTTCTCTGTCTAGTAATCCCATAATCCAACTAACCATCCACCCATCCATCTACCCACCTAACCTATCCATCCACCCAGTCACCTACCCATCAATTTACCCATCTTTCGTCTGACTAGCAATAAATGTATCCATCCACCTACCCATCCATCCACCCACCTTTCCTCTGTCTAGTAATTCTTCCATCCATTTACCCACCCACCCATCTTTCCTCTGTTTAGTAATCCATCAATCCAACTAACCATCTATCCATCTACCTACCCATCCATCCATCCATCATTTATCCAGTGACCTACCCATCCATCCACCCATCTTTCCTCTGTCTATAATCCATCCATCCGTCCACTCACTATCTTTCCTCTAGTAATCCATCCATCCATCCATCCACCCACCTATCTATCCATCTAGTCATCCATTCATTCATCCATCCATCCATTTGTCCAAATATCCATCTCTCCATCCATATTTCCTTCTGTCTGCTCATCCATCAGTTCACTTAACCATCCAACTATCTATCCATCTGTCCATCCACCCATTCAAATTTCTGTTACAGTGTGTGTGTCTAGATCCCTAGATGCAGATCTTGAGCCATCGATTCTTGGGGAAATGATTTACTGGAGGAAGGCTCCTGAAACAAGAGGAGGGAGCTAAGCAGGATAAGTCAGGGGAAGGAATGTTCAAGGCTATGGTCTGTCCCTTGGAGAGACTCTGAAGTGTTGATCTCATCTTAAGGAGTGGAGGGCTGACTGTTGTTAATTGATTCTGGGTGTGTCAATCATTAACTATGGGATGATTTTGAGATGGGGGGGGGGGTGCTGGGTGAGTCAGTGAGCTAGTCCAGTCAAGAGACTACAGCCTGTCTGTGCCCCACGATTGAGTCTATAAGAAGGAACAGGGAGCTGGAGGCCAGGGGGCTGCACTTGTGGTTCAGCAGGCCCTGGGTTGAGTGAGATTCATTAGTCCCTGCCACATACCTGTCCTCTGAGCTGTCTCACTTAATCCAGTTTATTTGTCTCATCTACCCCAAGCAACAGGCTCAGAGATTTATGGGCTGGCCTAAGGACACAGAGCCAGTGGGCACAGACTCAAGATGTGAACTCATCTGTGATCCTAGCACATGTTTTGGTGTTCTAGACACACAAAGCCCTGGGCAAGTGGGTTACCTCTGGGCCGGAGAATGCAGAGCAGTGGCTTGTAAAGGAAGGGCACTCCAGGCAGAGGGACCAGGAGGGACAAAGGCCTGGAGCCACCAGGAGAGGTTCCTGTGGTGGCCGCCATCATAGTCCCCACTGTTCCAGTGTATCCTTCCCCTGCAGGTGGTCGGGACAGGGCTGGGCGGCCGCTGCTGCTGCTGTCGACCACAGAGGGGGACTGGGAGGCACCATGGTGCCAGGCCTCCGCGCTCACCCAGCTGCTGTCCTTCCTGTGCAGTGTCCCCAGGTAAGGGGCTGACTGCTCCATCCCATGTAGACCTGGTGCTGGGTGGAGAGCCACGGATCCTGTATCCACAGAGCTGGTCCTGGGCCAGATGCTGGGGCTGGGGGGTGGGGTAGGACAGGCTCCGGCCTCCCCTCTCCACCCCCCCATCCCCCCTCCCATCTTTGGACTTTGGCTCCACTGGCTGGAGAAGAGCTGTATTACCCTGAGGCCCCAGAGGAGGTGTTGCTTGGAGCTGTGGCTGTAGCCCCCCCCCCACCTCCACCAAGTTGGTTTGTAACCTCAGGGCAGTGCAAACCCCCTCCTCTGAGGCTCACCTGAAATCAGGAGTTGACCAGCAGGCTCTGGGGACAAAGTGGGGTCCTAGGAGGTACAGATGAGGGGAGTGTGCGATATGAACTCTCCTCCCTGTCTGCAACTCGGCCTCTGTGCCTCCATTTCCCCTTCTGGGGCAGGCAGTCGCAAGCACAAACATCTGCACATCTCTTGCTTTGCACTCTCACAGGGCTCTTTACATTCACGAGCTAATGGGTTCTGGCACAGCCCCACCGGGCTGGGATGGTTATTGTTTGGTTGACTTGAGCAGTAAGGTGCCCAGGTCAGTGGATACTACCAGTAGTCTGTAGCTCCCTACCCATGGCGACCACTCCTGGCTTTGTCTATGAAGTGATCACTGTAAGGTTTAAGGTAGCTGGAGTTATTTTCTAAGTCTCCCTGGTCATCAGACCCAAATAAGTGGGGGCCAGGATGGGGTAGGAAGGTGAGGGTGGGGAAATCCTAAACTAACCACTGGAAAGTGGCTCATTGTCAGCTCAGTTTGCTGGGGCAGATCCATTAGGAGTAGGCTGGCTGCAAGCAACAGAAATCGCAATTCAAAATGTTTTACCAGATGTTGCTGTGTTTCCCTACAGCTCCTGTAAGAACTTTGTACAGGAGACCCTGTCTATCTCAGGAACTTCCCCTCCCATCACTTTGGGTAGAGCTATATCAGCTGGCACCCTCACCTAACCAATCATTGGCCAGGGAAACTGTGGTGCTAGTGTGTCTTCCACCAATCAGAAGCCATCCCTGAGGGGCGTGGTTCTTTGGAGGGAATTGGATTCTTGAACAAAATAAAGCTCTGCCCATTCAAATGGGTAGGTGAATGTGGGTAAATCACTGATATCAGGGCCATGTAAGTTGGTGCAGGACCACTGAAGAGGAGGCAGCAGATTTCCCAGAGGAGAATCCTGGAGGGTTTCCCAGAGGTGGTATTGAACTTGGTCTTGAAGGGTGAAGCACTCAGCAACGAATCAAGGCTTCTTGCAGCCAGTTTCCCTCACATTCTCCTAGATCCCTTCACCTGGGGAGCCCCTGGCTGCAGCAAGTCAGCAGATTCTGTTTTACACCCTCAGGACAGAAGAGAAAGCCAAGGGGCTGGCGGTAGTGATTGATGCCAGGAAAGAGCCGCCACAGCCTGGCCTGGTCAGTGCCCTGCAGGCCACCCAGGTGAGTGTGAGGTAGGATACTTGTCCAGCATTCTTCCCTCGTAAGTCAGCAGGGGACTCTGGTATGTGCAGGATCCATTGGGCTTAGTGTTGGAAGCAGGACCCCCCAGGCAGGGACTTTGAGTGGCCACTAAGAAAACCCAGCACTGACAAAGGGAATACATTGGTTCAGGCGTTAACCAGCTTCAGGTATGGCTTGATCAAAGGGCATAAACTTTCTCTATTTCTGGCTCTGTCTTCCTTAGGGGTGGGGTACTGATGGCCCCATTCCCTACTTGGTGGCAACTAGCAGCTTTAAATCCACAGAGTCTCATTTCAATCTACCAGGAAAGAAGGATAGTTTTTGTGTCTCATTAGTGCTGATTGGTTCCACCCATCAGCCAATCTGAATGGGCAGGAGAATGTACCATCCTGATTGGCTACAAAGCAGCCTCCTGAACTGAGAATGGAGGAGATTCAAAGGAGCTATTATGGACAGCCAGATAGATGGAGGAGGTTTCGTGTGAACTCAACTCATGATTTTGACTTATAAATGGAGAAAGTGAGGCCCAGGTTGGGGGCATCTAGGAAGCTTTCTAGCACCCCTGGCCCTGCTGCTCTCTGGTGGGAGACTCTCACCAGGCAGGTCTATTTGCCTGCTCTGAGTGGGGTGGGGGGGGGCGCAGAAGGGAGTGAGGACTGAGCAGCCCTGAATCTGAGCCCTCAAATCAACAGGCTGTGATCCCAGCCCTCAGAGCGCTGTTCTTCCTGGGAGAGAAGGAGGCAGCTCTCCTGCTGCAAGCCCTACCTGCAGCCCAGGTTAGAGGGATTGTGCAGGGGGTCACGGGCAGTGGGGGAGGGGAGTTGCTGGGGTGATGGGATGAAGAATCCTAGAATTCATGCACTGGAATTGATCTCAAGATAACCTAGTATAGGAACAGAAATTCATATCCCGGCATGCTACCTGCTCCTGCTGCTACTCCATGAGAGCCATGGCCAGGTCAGGCACTGGCTCCTTCTCTCCGACAATCCCAGCAACACCTGGCACACACCTCCATGTGACTGAGAGGTTGGGCTGGGTATGCAAACTTCCACCTCTCCCTGCTTTTCAGCTGGGGAAACTGAGGCACAGTGCCATCTTGCAAGCCAGACACAGAGCAGACCCAGAGCCTCCTGCACACTGCCTGCCATTTCCCTTCCTAATGACTACAGGCCTGGTGGGTTCAGAGTTTGCTCGGAAGAGCCTGCAGTTCCCTCTTAGTACGTGTCCCACAAGAGATTCATAGGTCTCCTTCCTGGTTCATAAAGAGGCACAGTGTGAACATCTCTCAAAGCCTGGTGGTACATGCCTGAGCTGCCCAGTGATACCTCGGGGCTGAGGGTCAGCCCAGCCTGTGGGATCTGAGCAGAAGGCATCTCATCAAAGTGCAGGTTCTCATTGAGGAGCTCTGGCAGAGACCAGGATCCGAGGGGGACCGTGGCTGCCACCTATGCGCTATGTGGGTGGACTCTGCAGCTACCCCTGCCTGATTCAAACTGCCCCCAGCCCCCTCTCCCCATCTTAGGGGCAGGATTTGGTGACCTTTCTCATCAGCCCCCAGGAAGAGACAGCACATCTCGGCTGGGTCCCCAGATTAAAGTTCAGGAACTCTGGAAATGTGGCCTTTTTAATCAATTCATATGAGCGCCCCAAAAGGAGCTATGTTAAGAAATCACCAGTGCTGCAATAGATTAGTGATGTCTGCCGTGAGCACAGGCTAGCAAAGTGGTGGTAGCAGTGCTTGTGTACACATTATTTCCTGGCCAAGGCCTGGTTCTGAAGTTTGATTTATCAGTTTCTAGACAAGATGGGGGTCCCCAGGAGCCACTCTGAACCTTCACTGTGGGAAAGGGACTGGTGCCAGGACAGGGACCTCAGTGGGACCTCCTCAGACATGTCTCTGCATGGAGGCCTCTGGCTCTCCTGACTAACTGCTCTGTCTGCAGGTGGAGGTGTTGACCTCATTGAAGGCTCTCAGCCACCATGTGGACTCCAGCCAGCTACCCGACACCCTGGGAGGCTCCTTTCCCTACTGCCACAGAGAGTGGGTGCAATTCTTCCAGGTGTCTACCCTCACGTCCTTTAACCCCTGACTCTCACCCCGTTAACCACCCTGTCTCACTAATCCATCAACGCTATGAGTTTCACAAATAGTCATTCAACAAACATTTGCAATGGTAGCATTGGGTAGATGAGTTAAAACTCAGATTCTTTTTCTTTTCTTTTTTTCTTTTTGTCTGTCATGGGGCTTGAACTCTGGACCTGGGCTGTGTCCTTGAGCTTTTTTGCTCAAGGCTAGTGCTCTACCACTTTGAGCCACAGCTCCATTTCAGGTTTTCTGGTGGTTAATTGGAGATAACTGTCTCACAGACTTTCCTGCCTGGGCAGGCTTTGAACCATGATCCTTAGATCTCAGCCTCCTGAGTAGCTAGGATTTCAGGCATGAGCCACTGGCGCCCAGCAAAGTTCTGATTCTGAGCTGGGCTCTAACCCCAACTGTGCTGTGAGACCTGGGGTAAGGGACTTACCTCCTCTGAGCCTTGATTTCCTCATCAGAAAAGAGGAGGACCACAGTAATTAATAATAATAATAATACTGATGACAATGATGAAAGAGTCACGGGTGCGTGTGAGAATGGACAATGAGGTCAAATTGCTTAGAAGAGTAGCTGGCCTGTGCTCAGATATATGCTTGCATCAACTGGGAATAAGTTCACTGGTGTTTGCTGTGTACATACATACAACCTGGGCAGGCAGGGTCTTTGCGGGGAGCAGGGCACTCACTCATCTCCACAGCCCCTCGAGGGCCATTCATGCTGGTGTAACTGCCAGGCCACTGGAGATGGCAGTGAGTTCACCATGGCCCACAGATCTGCAGAGCTGCAGCTCCAAGCTCCCTGAAGCCGGAGCCATGGGTGTCCGCCCCAGCTTTCCACCTGCACTGGCCACCGTGGGGCTCCGGGGACCTGCTTCTGCTGGGAGCTTTTCTCCATTTCTCCCATCAATTGTGAAAGGCTAAAATCTTTCCAGACATGATTGAGTGTCCTCCCCTCTCCCCCTCCTCCAGTTAAAACCTGACCTCCAGGTTCACGATGGTGCCTTACTCGCTTTCTGCTCAGGCGATCTTTTAAAAGTCGTGTCTGCTTTCAAACAGGCAGTGCAGCTGCTGTCTGTATCCACGGCTCCTACAGCCACTGATGGAAAATATTTGCAAAACTTGCGTCTTTCCTCAACACAGCCTTTTTCTTCTCGTCTTGTTCCCTAACACGCTGCAACAGGACCGCTGTTCATGTGGCGTTATGCTGCACCAGGTGTTGTCAGTGGTCTGGAGATGAGGTAGGAGTGCAGGACACTTGCTGCAAACACGACTCCCCAGTTACATTAAGGTCGGGGCCGCCTTGGGTCTTAGTATCCAGGGGCCAGAGGTCGATTCTGAGATGGCCGCTTTCCTGCTTCTCCCAGGCTCCCCTTCCTTCCCTGGTCAGTCCAGTGGCTTTTCAGTTTTCAGTTACATTTTTTTTTACCCCATCTCTCTCTCTCTTGTCGGTTGTGGAGCTTGAACTCTGGGCCTGGGCGCTGTCCCTCAGCTCTTCAGCTCAAGGCGAGCACTCTACCACTTGAGCCACAGCGCCACTTCCAGTTTTCTGAATGGTCTATTGGAGATAAGAGCCTCACAGACTTTCCTGCCCAGGCTGGCTTTGAACCATAATCCTGAGATCTTAGCCTCCTGAGTAGCCCATCTCTCATTACCAGAATGAAATAATCTCCTCTTCCTCCTCCTCCACCTCTTCCTCCTCCTCCTCTTCTTCCTCCTCTCTCTTCTTTCTCTTTATCTTCTTCATCTTCTTTTCTTCCTCCTCCTCTTCTTCTTTTCCTCTTCTTTCTTCCTTTTCTTCTTTCTCTTCCTCTTCTTCCTCTTTGTCTTCTTCATCTTCTTTTCCTTCTCCTTCTCTTCCTTCTCCTACTCTTCCTCTTCTCTCCTCCTCCTCCTCCTTCTTCTTCTTCCTCTTTCTCTTTCTCTTCTTCCTTTTTTTTCTTCCTCTTCTTTTTTTGTGTTGGTCATGGGTCTTGAACTCATGGCCTGGGCTCAAGGCCAGCACTCTACCATTTTGAATCACAACTCCACTTCTGGTTTTCTGGTAGTTAATTGGAGATAAGAGTTTTATAGACTTTCCTGCCTGGGCTGGCTTCAAACTGCGATCTTCAGATCTCAGCTTCCTAAGTAGCTAGGATTACAGGCGTGAGCCATGAGTGCCTGGCTCTGAAATCTTACTGGACCCGGAACATGAAACTGATGGGGGCTGTGACTCACCTCTGTACTGGGTTCCCTGGGGCCTTGCACAAATTCACCCATCAAATCCTCCCACGCCCTCTAAGGCCGGAGCCACTGTGGTCTTCATTTCCCAGAAGGGGAAGCCAAAGCCTAGAGAGGTTAAGTAACTCACCCAAGGTCTCACAGCCAGCAGGTGGCGAAGTTTGGCTAAAAGAGGGACCAAGCCATGTGTGCCCCCCAACCCCGTCCTCTTCCCTCTCCTCCTTCTCCTCTGCCCAGCTACCCCTGAGGGTGGGGCTGCTAAGTCCTGTCTTCTTCCACTGGCTCCCACTCCCTGAGTGTGGTTGCCACCCGCCCCTGCATGGCAGCATCCACCGTGGCCTGCTCATTAGACATGCCAGCTTTCAGACCAGGGCCCTGGTGGCTCATGCCTGTAATCCTAGCTACTAAGGAGGCTGAGAGCTGAGAATCATGATTTAAAGCCAGCCTGGTCAGGAAAGTCTAGGAGACTCTCATCTCTAATTAATGACCAAAAAGCCAGAAGTGGAGCTGTGACTCAAGGGGAAGAGTGCTAGCCTTGGCAAAGAAGCTCAGTGGCAGTGCCCAGGCCCTGCGTGGAAACCCCAGGATTGGTACACATGTACGCATGTGCACGAGCATGTGCATGCGTGTGCATGTGCGCGCGCGCGCGCACACACACACACACACACATATACACACACACAGGAGGTTGGTATCACCAGCTCTCCACAGGGCTCCGATGCCCCTGGTGTTCGTGACCACTGCCCACTGCCTCCCATGTCCTCCCTGGGTGGGGGCGGCCTTCCCGGCCGGGTCTGACAGCCGCTCTGGCCTCTGCAGACACTGGACCCGTTCCTGGCTGACCTTCGCCAGGCCTCCTCCTTGCTGCAGGCCTCCATCGATGAGTTCAAGAAGGGCGAGCCCCCAGGGGGGGCCCAGGTGAGCCTGGAGTGGGCAGGGTGGGGGAGGGAGTCGTGGTGCACCCCAGGTTCCACAGACCATGGGTTCTGTGAACAGGACAGCCATTCACTGGGCTGGCACCTGCTCTTTGTCTGCAAGGGGTCCCAGTCTGGGGCAAGCCAAACTGCCTTAGTCTGGAGGAGATCATAGTACCGGGGCAGAGGCTGGCTGGGGCTTAGTGGCAGAGCGCTTGCCCCCAGGCTTCGGCTTTGATCTCCAGCACTACACAATGAAATGGAAAGGTAGAGCCAAGCACGGTGGCATAGGCCTATAATCCCAGTACTCAATAGGTGGAGTTAGGAAGACGCAGAGATCAAATCTAGATTGGATCACATAGTGAATTAGAAGCCAGCCTGGGCTACAGAAAGACTCTTTCTCAAAATGAAGGGAGGGAGGAAAGAGAAGAAAGAGAAAAAGGAAGGAAAGGAAAAGAAAGGAAGAATGGAAAGGAAAAGTTAAAAATTACCTATAATCCTAGCTACTCAGGGGGCTGAGATCTGAGGATCGTGGTTCAAAGCCAGCCCAGGCAGGGAAGTCCATGAGACTCTTATCTCCAATAAACCACTCAGAAAACCAGAAGTGGCACTATTGCTCAAGTGGTAGAGCGCTAGCCTTGAGCTGAAGAGCTGAGGGACAGCGCCCAGGCCCAGAGATCAATCCCCATGACAAAAAACAACAACAAAAAAACCCCCAAAAACCCAAAACCAAAAAACAATTGTTCCAGATAGTAGGGAAGTAAGGATGAGGATAACAACAAAGGAGAGAAGACCTTAGAAAAGACGACAATGATATTTAAGTTGATGCCTGAAGTTTAAGACGTTTGCCTTTGAGGGGGACTGAGCTCTAGGCAGAAGCCAAACCTGTGCAAAGGCTCTGGGTCAGGTTACGCTTGCAGTTGCAGGAAGAGCAGGGAGGCCCATGGGGAGGCAGAGATGGGAGGGGATGGTAAGATTCGCCCTTTACCATCCTTCCACGGCCTGGTGGAGTGAAGACAGATTGTGGAGGGATCCAGAGCACAGCAGGGAACAGGCTGGGAAGTCTGTCCAGAGAGATGGAGTCCATCCATGAGGTTGCCATGGTGACCGAGGAGCGTGGCTGGACAAGATTCATTAGAGATCCAGGGACAGAGTTGATGGGGGACCTGGGGAAGTCTGGTTTGGTCTGGGTGTGGGGAGCCCTGGGTGGTATCCCTGGGAGAGCAGGGATTGGACCTCAGAGGGCCTCTCTATGCTGGCAGGAGGCCGCCAGGTGCCTGAGCAAGTCCAAGGAGCTGATGGAGGCCGTGCTGAGGGACCCGGGCCTGCTCAGCCTCCAGCGGGAGGGTGGAACCATCCTGGCCAGGCTGCAGCGCGAGGCCAGCAGGCTGGCCTCCAATCCCGACGTCAGGTACGGATGCTCAGGCCTTCCCTGCCCAGCCCTACCCTGTTTCCCCAGCCTGGGAGCTCAGAAGCCTGGGACCCTGTGTGTCACAGGCCCCCCCACCCTCTGCCACCTCCTGCTCTGGGCTTGGCAAGTCCTTGTCTCTTCTCTGTCACCTTGCCTTCATTCCTGCCATCTTCAGCCTGGGGTGGCATCGGGGGGTCTGTCCCCTCCCTGTCCACGCACCCCTGCACCCATCTCTGGCCCAGGCGCTGGGCAGAGCCCTGCAGGCCCCATCTCATTTATCCCTGTGATAGAGCCATGAGGGCCTGCCTCATTATTCTTGCTTGGCAGATGATAACAAAGGCTCAGCCCCCTCAGGTCCCAGCCAGCCATGGACCCCTAGTGTGGCCGGAAGCAGGGTGGTGGGGGGAACATCTGAGTACCCTAAGAGGGTGGGAAGAGTCCCTGTGTTGGAGGGGAGGGGCCCTGAATCTGAAAGGCAAGAATCCCAAGTATCCCACACTCTGAGACGTCGTCAGCCCAAATTCTACACCGTGAAACTTGGCTTCGTGCACAACCCGATTCAAACCACTGCATCAAATTTCCCAGAGGCTGGGAAAGGTGTGAATTTGTTTAGACTCCAAGAGAGCTCATTGCTGTTTGACAAAAATTCCAAAATCTGAGGAGGAGAAGAAAAAAACCAAACGACTCCAAAATACTTCCTAAGAGAAGAGACTCTCAACCTGTAATTGAATCCCTCAGCAAATGGAAATATTCTCTCCAATCCAACACAGCTACTTATACATTTGCGAGCCAATGTACGTAGCTGTGAAGTTTGCATACGCTTTTAGGAGCAATTTGTTCATTGAGCCGACACCTACACAGCACTTAAGAGTGTGTACAGCCTTGTACTAAGGAGGTACGAGTAGCCTGACTTGTGGAGGAGATCCAGTATTATCTCTATGTCACAGCAGAGGGGTCAGGCTCAGAGAGGTCAGGGAACTAGCCCCAAGCTACACAGCTGGGATGTGGGGGAGGTTGAGACTTGGGCCCAAGTAGCCTGACCCCAGAATGTTGACTATGTCCTTGAGCTACATCCCCAGACTCAGGGCCAGGCTCACGCAGAAGGGAGCACTGGCCGCACTGGGACCTGGTGCCTGGCGAGAGGTCACCTTCCTGCTTGATGCAATGCTTTGTGGGGAGGTTTTTCTCGGGGTGCCCCTGCCTCCTGTGTGGATTTCCTCCTGTCCACTTTAGCTCCTTCCAGACGTTGTGCAGTGTGCCCACCAGGGGGCGCTGTGGGCCCATTCAAGGCGCTGCCGTCCTGTTCTGCAGGAAGTCGCTGCTGGCCAGGACAGCTCCTCCCTCCTCCTCCAGCCCCTTCCTGCACCCCGGGGTGGGTGGGTGGGTGGGCGTTCACCCCTTTCCTGGGGGGCAGCTACTATGACCCCGAAGATGGGGTCTCAGGGCAGGGCAGGGCAGGCAGGGCAGGTGGTGAATTCTTCCACCCCACGTCCATTGTCCTAGGCTTCCCTTTCCTTTAAGTCCTGTGGCTTTGGCCATTTTTTAATTCTATGAAAGAGCTCTGGCCAGGCCTTGCTGCCTGTCCTGGGCCTGGGCCCGTCCCCTGCTTTCCCCCTCCCCCCCCGCCCTGCCCTGGGTCCAGCAGAGGCTGATGACACTGTGACAGCCACAGGCCTCTGACCAGTTGATGGACGCTCTCATCCAGCCTCCTGGGAACCACATGAGGCTCTCTGGAAAGCTCTGGAATCCCAGCCTCATCTGCAGTCTGCCTAGATAGTGGGGGAGCGGGGACCTGGATATGAATTTCTCAAAGTTCCCCGGGTTAAATCACTAATACCTCACCGTGTTCTTTTATTCCCATTTGTCAACTGGGAAACAAACCTTAAAAGGTAGAGGCATCAGGCAAAATCCTACACTGGAAGGTGGGCTTTGGAAGGTCCAGAGAGGTCTAGAGACCTACCCAAGGTCACACAGTGAGTCAGCAGCCAGAGATCCCAGCAGGGCCATGGAGACTGGGAGTGGTCCTGTGTTGGGCAGCCATAGAAGGCAGGGAGGGAAGGGGAGGACCTCAGGAGCCTCAGCTGACCCTCCCTGCCCCCGACCCCCACCCAGGTGCCGTTTGGCTGAAGCTGCCACCCTGTACAGCCTTGTGGATGAGCAGCTCCATGTCCTGGTCACTGCGTCCAACCATCACCTGGGGAGGCTGGAGCTCCACGTCCGCCTGGGCCGCCTGGAAGCCGCCATGCACCAGGTGAGGGGCGGCCGGCCTGGTGGGGCGGGGAAGCAGAGCCGACTCAGACAGGTTCCTTTGCCTGGAGTAGGGACTGGCAGACTGGCAGATTGACAGGGCATGCAGTAAGTGCTTCACGGGAAAAGACACCCCCAAAGCTGCTCCAGCTGGGTGCCACACCCCAGACTAGAGCTTCATCTCTCACCAATGATAGGAGGAAGCTGTTAGGTTTCCCCATGTCTAGACCAGGGCATCGTGGCTGGGAGGAGGGGGACTGTGGCTGCCTGTGGTTACACGTCCAGGGTCTCATGGGGATCCCGTCCCAGCACTACCCCACCGGGCTGCCAGTACCCAGAACCAACGCACCTGCCCAGGCCATGGCTCAGGGTGCAGGGCTCAGCCCTGCCTCTGGCCCCTGCCATTTATTGGACCATTCACGCCTCTGAACCCTCGTTCTTGGCTGGAGATAATCAGTGCCATGTCATTTGGGCAAAGTCAATGAATAGGAGTTTTTTCTTTTTTTCTTTCTTCTGGCAGTAGGGCTTGAACGTAGGGCCTGGGTACTGTTCCTGTGTTGTTGGTTATTTTTAAAATTTGTTTTTTGTGGTGCTCTACCACTTGAGTCATTGCTTCACTTTTAGCTTCTTGCTGGTTAATTGGAGAGTAGAGTATTATGGACTTCTCTTGCCCAGGTTGACTTCAAACTGAGATCCTCAGATCTCAGCCTCCTGTGTAGCAAGCTGACAGGTGTGAGTTCTACTGATGCCTGGCAATAGTAGCTATTTTTTTTTCTTTTAAAAGACTTCCTAGCCAGAGGCCTGTGGCTCACACCTGTAATCCTAGCTACTCAGGAGACTAAGATCTGAGGTCAGAGTTGAAAGCCAGCCCAGGAAATTAAGTCATGACACTCTTATTTCCAATTAACTGCCAGAAAAATGGAAGCGCAGCTATGGTAGAGTGCTAGTTGTGAGTGAAAAGCTCAAAGACAGCACTCAGGCCCTGAGTTCAAGCTCTATGACTGACAAACAACAACAGAAAACCCCAAACACCAAAATCTCTTAAAGACATCCTAAAGTTAGAGTGGTGGGTCCTGCCTGTAATCCTAGTATTGGGGAGACTGAGCAGAAGGATTGAGAGGTCAAAGCCAGTCTGGGCTGCATCGCAAGACCCTGTTTAGAAACCAACCTCAACGAAAGAAGAGCCCCCAAGAAGGGACCGTGTATTCACAGAGAGCATTTTGTCCCCTCTGTTTGAGTCTATCTGCTGCGGGCCAGCTTCACACACGTGTTCCTGGTCGGCATTTCCCTCCTGTGCAGTTGGCAGCTGCCCCTGAGTTCACCTTTTGTGACCAGGGAGCAGGGAATGGCCATCACAGGCTTTGGTCGCCCTGGCCACGGCTGTGCACACAGAAGCCGCCCATGTGCAGGTCCCTGCCCAGGGCGGCCTCTCCCAGGAGCTAAAGTGTGCTGAACACAAGCCCCAAGCCTGGGCCCAGCACTTCAGGGTTTCAGTCTAGGTCTCTGTGTGACTTGGGACAAGAGGACAGTGGCCTTCCTGGAAGTGGGGGTGGGTGTCTCCCTAGGGACTGCTCACGTGCAAACCTCCTGTCCCGCCCAGGTCAGCACCTGGATGGAGCGGGAGGGAAGCCAGTGCCTGCGGGCACTCGTCCCCGCCGACGGCCGCTCGGAGAGCGTGGAGAAGGCCCATGCGGAGTTCGAGGACTTCTTCCTGCAGGCAGCGGTGTGTGCCAGAGCAGCGAGGGGCTGGCTGGAGCCAGGAGAGGGCGCTAGAGGCCTGGCCCGGGGAGGTAGAGCCGGGAATACACAGGAGAATCTTCAGCGGCCACAAGGAGACCGTCTGGAGTCCTAAAGGGTTCAACTTAGACGTTTCCTCTCCCGGGAAGCCCTCCCAGACCAGCAAGCCCCAAAGAATCCTCAGAATCCATTGCAGCAAGAGTTTTCAAATGAGGTTCCATGGCTTTGCCTTCCACCTGCGCGGTCAGAGGGGACCCTGTGCTCACGGTGGGCTCAGGGAGCTTTGTCCTGTTTCAGTCCCCCAGGGAGGACAGGGATGGGGACAAACAGGGACACCAATGAGAGGTAGGACACAGAAAAGCCTCTGCCCCCCAGCTTTCGAGTCCGAGAAGTTTCTAGAAGGATCTGAACTGTCAAAGCCAACCTGGAAACTGTCACGAGCCTTGAGCCTGGGCCATGTGCTGCAAGGGTGGGCACTGTGAAGCCCTCACTTAACAGATGAGGAAACTGAGGCACACAGGGCCTCTCAGTTGGGCGGGCCTTTGGGAAACCCAGACAGGCAGGCCCCCGGTGGTACCTTCTCTCTCCTCTCAGGCCCAGTACCGACGGGGGCTGGAGCTGTCCAAGCAGGCGGCCCAGCTGGGAGCTCCTGGCCGAGGGGCGGGCGAGGCCGGTGGCAGCGGTGGCAGCGGTGGCAGCGGCAGCCCGGGGCTCCCCGAGCTGGTGGCCTTTGCTGCCACACAGCGAGCCTTCCAGGCCAAGCTGACCCATTTCTACATGGCGGCCGAGCGACAGCGCACAGACCTGGAGACGCTGCTCTACCTGCATCGCTTCTGCAAGAAGGTGAGCTTTGGCAGGAGGGGGAAGGGGGGGAATCACTGGCACAGACCCCCCCTCTGCAGGGATGGAGGGAGGGCTACACGGTGTGGGGCAAGTTGCATGACCCGTGACCCAGACAGATCCTGGAAAGGGAGTGAGCCATTGTGTGAACAGGTGTGTCCTGGTCCTGTGCCAGTGGCCACCGGCTGGGAGGGAGAGGGGGGTGAGGATGAAGATGTCCAGGGTCCCATGTGCAGAGACCACATGAGCAGAGGCCACGTGGGCGGGCGCACATTCCACGTGGGAGAGCCACCAACCAGCTTCCCAGTTTCCACTTGAGAACATCCAGGCGCAAAGCGGGAATGGATGTGTTCAGGTCACCCAGGGAGTGGGAGAGGGGAGCGAGGTGTCAGCCATCAGGCGAGATTTGGCCTCAAGACTCCCTTCCCAAACTCAGCGGACAAAGCTCTTGGTTTATTTATTTTTTTTCTGGAGGGCAAACCGAGGCCTGCAGGTGGTCAGGGGGCAGTCTAGGAGAGCTGACCCCATCCACACCGGAGAGAAAGCTGCAGGACTGGCCTCTGCCCAGTGCCCTGGGGTTTCCTCCCCCCACCACAATCTGCCACAAAGGACAGAGTGTGGGAAGAGCGTGACCTTTGCCCACAGCTGTGAGGCTGCCCCACGCAGAGGGAGAACACGCAGGGTGCTGCAGGACGCAGGGCCAGGACCCCATCAGTTCACGCATGTCTGGGGACCCAGAAAGACAGGGCCCTCTCTGTCTCCTTGGGGCAACCGAGGGCAGACGGGGGGGGGGGGGGGGGGAGAGGATGTGACACGCCCCCTCCTCCCACCCCCCTTCCCCCGTCCCCTCTCAGCTGTCCCAGGGGCTGGAGAGGTGGGAGAGGCAGGATGTGTTCCACATATGCTGATAGGAACTCTGTGACCCCCAACAGTAGTCTCTACCTCTCTGAGCCTCAGCAAACTGGTAATAATAACAACAACAATAATGATATTTGTGGGGTTGGCAGCATGGCTCAGGTGGTAGAGCACCAACCAACAAGTGAAAACATTGGATACTGAATTTGAGTCCCAGTCTCGGTGGGGAAAAATAAATAGATAAAACAAACCGGGAGCCAGTGACTCCTATGTGTAATCTTAGCTACTCAGGAGGCTGAAATCTGAGGACTGCACTAAAAAGCCAGCCCTAACAGGAAAGTCCATGAGAGTCTTCTACTCAGAAAAGGCTGGAAGTGGAGCTGTGGCTCAAGTGGTAGAGCGCTAGCCTTGAGTCAAAAGAAGCTCAGGGATAGTGCTCAGGCCTTGAGTTCAAGCCCCAGGACTGACAAAACAAAACAAAACAAAACAATAAAACAACAACCACCAAAAGAACCCCCCAGAACCCAAACAAACAAAAAACAAACTCATGTTTCTCACCCTGCTCTAGTTGTTTTGTATCTTGTTTGATGATCACACCTGTTTGGCACTGTACTCATTTTATACATGAGAAACCAGAGACTTTGGATGACTTGCCCAGAGCCACTCAGCTGCCAGAGCCGCAGAGCTGAGATTCGAAGCCGGGCCCTCTGGTTGGAGTACCTGTCTTGCTAGGTAGTGAGAGAATTAGATTCAGTGCAGGTCACTCCCAGAGCAGGCCTGCCACAATTCAGAATTATTATAAATAATATCTTCATTGTCATTATCATTAGCAGAAGGAGGAAGGGGAATTCCTTCAGGGGCTTCTGGAAGCTTCTCTCCCAGGCTCACTGAGTTCTGCTCATTTCTGCTCCAGTGGCCTTCCTGCATCAGCCAAACTCACTCCGGCGCTGAGGCCTTTGCAGGTGTTATTCCTGAGACTCCAGTAGCTGTTCCTTACACAGCTGGCTTCTTTTCTTTCTTCCTCTCTCAGTGCATGTCCTCCTCCTCACTGGCGCCCATCCTGGGTGCATCTATGTCTGGTCTAGCCAGGAAGGGAGAGCCCAGGACAGACAGGACATTCTAGTGTGGGGTTTGATCCCCGCTCTGTACAGCAGCCTGGGCTCTGTAGTCATATTAATAACATGACTGCACTGCTAACGGGGATTTATGGAGCCTCTAGCTGCGTGTGCTATGGAGAATATGAACCCATTTGTCTAAAGACAAGTTTCCTTAATCCACGGGAAGACCATCTCTGGAGAAAATGTGTCTGCAGTCCTGCAGCCCAGCGGCTGGCTGTCAGGTCGGGAATTAATGGAGAGAGAGATCCTGCTTCGCTGAGCTGCAGGGGGCCCCCTGTGCCTTGGCAACATGCATATATTTTGGGAAGCAGGGGTTGGGGAAGGCAGACTCACAGGATGAGCTGAACTCCAGCCGAAGTGAGGGGCTTGCTCTGACGGATGGCTCTCCTGTTCCTGACCAGCCAGTGTCTTTTTCTGGCAAGAAACAGTTTTGTTTTGGGGGGGGGTAGGGGTGGCAAGACAGATCTGAGTTAGAACCCTAGCTCTTTCCTGATTCGCTGTGTGACCCTGGGCCTAACTGCGTCACTGCTCCAAGTCCCACTCCCTCTACCCCCTCCCTGGGAACCGGGTTCCTGGCTGTATAGGTGACCCACCAAGCCTGTCACAGCCACAGTCCTCCCTTCTGACCTGTCCCCTCCTGGAAGCCACATGCTCAGCTCTTACAAGGGCTTTTTATTATTGTTATTATTATTACTTTGGTCAGTCATGGGGCTTGAACGCTGGGCCTAGGTGCTGTCCCTTAGCTCTCTTGCTCAAAGCTAGCTCTCTATCTCTTGGAACCACAGCTCCACTTCCGGTTTTCTGGTGGTTAATAGGAGCTAAGGGTCTCACGGACTTTCCTTCTATGGCTGGCTTTGAGCTGCAATCCTCAGATCTCAGCATCCTGAGTAGCTAGGATTACAGGCGTAAGCCACCAGTGCCTGACAGGCGTTTTTGTTTGTTTGTTTGTTTGTTTGTTTTTAATGGTTATTTATTGTACACCCATTTTACAAACAAGGCAAACTGAGCCCCAGAAAGGAATAAGCCTGCCAGCCCATCGGTCTAGTAGAAGATGCCGAGAGGCTGTCTCTAGCTGACAGTGGGGTGTCCTGGCAGGGAGGAGAAATCATCTTTATTGTAACCTACCAAGATAGGGGTGCCTAATGTTCACTGGGTATCTGCTAATACAACTTAGCCTTTCTTATAGACGGAACCCCCACCTCTGTCCTCACTCCCCGCCTCTTCTCTTTTTGCCCCCAGATGACCTGGTTCCATTTGGACTGTCAGGATCTGATGGCTCAGCTCAGGCTGGGCAAGGCTCAACGGGCCAGCCCCGGGGACCAGCGCCGCCTCCAACGCTACCTGTGGCGTCTGGAGTCTGAGTTTCCTGCCCAAAAGCTTATGGCCATGAAGCTGCAGGTGGCCTCCCTGAGCCGGGCTAGCCTGGGCCGGGACCTATGGGAAGAGGCGCGGGTCAGACATGAGGAGATCCAGACCCTCCTGAAGAAGGCCTTGGCACACTGTCCATGCCCTGCGGCTCCCACGGCCCAGTTAAGTGGGCCAGCTACCCAGGGCCAGGGTCCGAGTGGGGAACTCCCTTCCCAGGGGACATGGGACCTGCCCCGCCAGGACTCTCTGGGTGTGAATCATTTGCCAAAACCCAGCTGGCTTCCTCTGGTTCCCAGAGGGGGGCTGCAGCGGAATTTCCAGGCAGACCCTCCACGCCAGGAAGCTGGCCAGACTGAGGCTGGTGAAGACCAAGGCCCCTGTGAGCTGGCCAAGACTGTTCCAGAACATCTTCCTACCTTGCAGCCATCCCCCAGGCTGAACCAGCTCCCCCACCCCACCAGAGGCAGCTTCTCCTCAGAGGGGACAGACTCACAGACATCCCTGGAGAGCTCACCCCGGACAAGTCCGCCTGCTTCCCTGTAGCCGGGGCCCACTTCCAGCGTGACTGTGACAGGCCAAGCTAGAGGCCTCTGGGAGCCCTGCTATTGCTATGGAGACTTGGCCATCCATCCTTTGGGAAGCGAAAAGTCATGAGTCCAAGCTAGGCACTGGTGGCTCACACCTGCAATCCTAGCTAGTCAGGAGGCTGAGACCTAAGACTCACAGTTCGAAGACAGCCCAGGTAGATAAATCCAAGAGACTTATCTCCAATCAACCAGCAAAAACACTGAGGTATGGCTCCTCAGCCTTGAATAAAAAAGCCAACCCAGAACGCAAGGCCTTGAATGCAAGCCTCAGAACTAGTACACACTCACAGACACAGACACAGACACACAGACACACACACACACACACACACACACCACACACACACACACACACACACACACACACACACACACACACACACACACACACACACACTGTGGATCCAGTCCTAGCCACAGAAAAATCCAGGCAGTCTGCTTCTTATCCGTATTAAATCATGAGCGTTGAGTCAGGATCCTGGCTCAGTCCAGGATCAAGTCCCCCTAGCTCTAGGTCTCACTGTGGAAAGGCCCACTGCTACCAACTCTGCCTAGGCTCTCACTGTTGGGCAGCCCAAACAGACCCTGGAGTTGCGAGAAATAGACGCACTGCTGAAGAGGCAGAAGCGGGTACAGCCCTCTTTCAGGGAGAGGTGGGCATGGCCTCTTGCTTGAATCCAGCCGCAACAGACCTGACACATGGACTAGAGCATCTGTACATCTAGGGGTGACCCCAGGAACCCGTGTGGAGTAGGGGGCTGCATCTGGGAAGGGAATAAAAGGCGTGATGTCAAGCAGATTCCTGAGGGTGGATGGAGCTGCACCCTGCCAAAGAAGAGACAGGACAATAGAACCACACCCCCAGAGCTGCCCACCTGGGGGCCAAGGAATGCCAACATCATTCCCCAGCTCCCAAGAGTGTCCTTGCCCAGAGGCTGATGGGGGAGGGGAGCAGGGACGGAAGAAAGATGCTATCTGATTTCAGTAGAAAGTATCTAGAAGGCACCATACCTTGCACATGGCCACAGTAGCGCCCCCTAGTGCCTCTTCTGAGCATTGCTATGTTGAAAGTTTTTTTCACCCACAACTTGTCCCATCTTATCAGTTGGCCTTCTGGCAGCTAGTCGGGCATTTTCCTGGTCCTGAGGGAAGGAGGAGGGGGGAGTGTACAAGTCCATACCCCTGAGCCCGTGTAATGGAAGAGAGGCAGCCTAGAGAGGGCCTGGGAGGGTGAGATTTCTCAGCAGACGGCCACACACACCCTCAAAGTCTAGTGGCTTCAGGAATCTTCTAACAGACTCAAGATTTCTCCAAAAATGGCATAGTCCCTGCCTGCTTCAGAGTCATGCTGTGGGTGATCAGAAGGCACCTTCTTCGCGGAACCCTCCCACCCTCCTGGACGATTAAGGTCATCTCCCTGGGCGTAGAGGTAATGGGAAGGGCCTACATCTGGACCACCAGCCCTTCCCTGCTGTCTTCCAGGCAGCTCAGTGAGGTGCTACGGTCTCACATTGCCACAGGCTGGCTCATTTATAAACAATAGAGGTTCTCTTTGGCTTATAGCTCTAGAAGCTGGGAAATCCAAGAGTGGAGAGGCTGCATCCTGTGCCCTCACATGGCAAGAATACATGAGGAAAGGGGAATGGGCCAAAGCATCCTTCATAAGGGAGGGTGGCTCCTGCATTAATCCTTCAGGACCTCTCACACTTCAAGGCCCCAGCTCTTGACACCTCCTGTGTGGAGTAAGTCTTCAACTCTCAAACTTTGAGTGACATAGAGTACAGCAGGATGCCAGTGGACAAGGGGCCTGAGCCAGCTCTCACCCAGTATTCCTCTCCCTCACAGCCCAAGGATGCACGAAGCATTTAATCAGCACATCTCCATCCAGACTTGTGGTCTCCAAGGGGGGTCGAGGGCTCTTCAGACGTTACCATAGCAACAGCATCTCACCAGTGGAGACCACAGGCAGGGATCCAGGGAGACCTGGGGAGGAAGGATGAAAACTGACTTCTGAGAGACCACAGCTACTGTTAGGAATGAAGAAGCCAAAGAAGGGTGCAGGATCCAAGAATTCATGGGTGGGCAGGGTCTCCTAGGTCACTTTGTAATCCCCTCTGTCTAAAAAGAAAAAGAAAGAAAGGTACCCAAAGCCTCCTTTTTACTCATGACAGCCCCTGGAGGAAAAAGGGGATGCAGAAATGAAATATGAATGAATGACCACAGATAAAATAATGAATACCAAATATTTTGTTGGTGTTTTCTTTGTGCTGAGCTCAAAACAAGACTTCACCAGGTTTTTGGGTGCTTCATGACAATGCTGTGAAACTGTACAGATGTCCCCATTTTCTGGAGAAGGAAACAAACTCAGAGCACCTTGGAGACCATTTGCTCAGTGTCACTGTAAATGACAGACCTGGACTTGGTAGGATACTGATGTGTGTGTGTGTGTGTGTGTGTGTGTGTGTGTGTGTGTGTGTGTGTGTGTGTGTGTGTTATATGTGTGTGAGTTTTGGAATGTGACCACAGCACTATTTCTTAGTGTTTTTTTAACTCAAGGCTAGGGCTCTAATCTACCACTTGAGCCACAGCTTCACTCCACCTTTTTGATGGTTAATTGGAGAGAAGAGTCTCATGGCCTTTCTGGCTTTGAACCATGATTTTCAGAGTTCAGCCTCCTGCATAGCTAAGATTTCAAGCATGAGCTACTGGTGCCCAGCAATAATGCTGTTGTGGGATGTTATCAGATGCAGCCTGATAGCTGCATCTGAGTGTCTTCGACTTGGCCCCTTGCTGTCCTGCAATACTCATGGCCACTGCCATGTTCACATGCCAGCCCAGGCTGGGCTCCCAGGGTGGCATTTATAGATGTCTAATTAGTAACATAGGCCCTGGAGTTGGACTGACCCGGTGCTCACCCAGGCTCTAGTCTTTACAAGCAATGTATCCTTGCTCAAGAGTTGCCACCTCTCTAGGCTTAGTTTCCTCATCTGTAAATGAAGGAAGGGTTCATGACATTCTCAGAGAGGTTCCTGGACCACAGTCCACATCCCTAAGTGGTAGCTACTATTGCAGTTTGGTGCCAGCCAGGCCAGCCCTGCATCTGTGATGTGGAAATTCTAGGAAGGACATCTTCCCCCACCCCAGACTTCCAATAAAGACCCTACTGATTCCCAATGAGTTGTTTGCTCTTTGAAACATGTGAATTGCTGTATTCATTTTCTGAATCCCCAGTTGCCTCTCCAAGACCAAAAGGGCCTCTTGCCTGCTGAAGGGAGGGTGAGGCAGGATCGCCCCCCCCCCCCCCCCACCATGCTTATGGGTTATTTCTCTGGGGCCACCACACAGCTTCAAATCTGCAAAGCCTCAGCCCAGAGAAGACACTCTGAGGACTTCACACGTGTGTGTGCAGCCTGCTCCAGGGAGAGAAGGAGGCAGCAGTCACATGGGACCCTAAGTCATCAGGGACACAGCTGTCTCCTGCTGAGATGGGGCCTGGGACCCTTTGTAAGCTGAGTGGTTGGGAGACAGGGCAGTAAAGGAGGTGTAGCCCGCAGTCAGGACCTCAGTGTGCAGACTCTCCCCCACCCCTGGCCCAAGGCACTGGATGGGTACCGACCAGAGAATCCCTGCCTGCGCATCCAGGTTTGGTGGCCAGCAGCCACTGAGCAGATGGTGCCCTCAATTTTCCCCATCTGTCCAACAGGTTGGTCAAGTCTGCTGGGTCCCTGAGCTCCACAGCAGACCTTTTCTTTTTAGGCAAGGCCAGGCCTGCTTTTGTGATAGGTGTGAAAAAAAAACAAAACAAAAAAGAAATTGTCTTGGCTAGGAAGGTGGCTCAGTGAGAGAGCGCTTGCCTTGCATGCCTGAGGCCCTGGGTTCGATTCCTCAGTACCACATAAACAAAAAGAAAAAAGCCAGAAGTGGCCTCACGACTGACAAAAAAAAAAGCCAAGCCACCAAGTCAAAGCAGGAACTTTTTAAGCAACACATTTTGATAGACAAGACAATTTCTTTTTCTTTTTTCTTTTTTTTTTGGGGGGGTCCAGTCGTGGGGCCTGAACTCTGGGCCTGGGTGCTGTCCCTCAGTTCTTCAGCTCAAGGCTAGTGCTCTACCACTTGAGCCACAGCACCACTTCTGGCTTTTTCTGCTTAGGTGATGCTGAGGAATCAAACTCAGGGCCTCGTGCATGCAAGGCAACCATTCTACCACTGAGCCACCTTCCCAGCCCTGGCTTGGCTCTTATTAAGGAAAAGAAGGACTGTGTTGGGATAAGGAAAGGTTTTTGAAATGTAAGGTTTTTGCCTTACACTGGTTTCTTTTCAAGATGGAATTAAGACACACTTCAGACTGTTCAAGAAATTGCAGAGAGTGCAGGTGTATTTTGAGATGGATCATGTACTTTTAATACTGTTTCAGTAACCTTACAGAAATATAATTTACCTTATTCAAACTAGCCAATCACGAGCAGACTGTGAACATGAGCTCAACCAATCAGAGCAGAGGGGTGGGGCCTGCCCCCTTAGGGATAAATACCTCTGGTGGCCTGTCTGTTCTGTGCACCTGCTTGCCAGAGTTTTGGCTGATGCTGCACCTTTCAGCAGAAGTCAGCTTGTCCTTGCTGAGACAATTCTTTATTTTTTGTGTCTATTAGTGTGATGCCAGTGGTTCTTGGAGAGCATATTTATAATGCAGGGCAGTGACCCCTGCGTAGAGGTGGGCCTGAGCTCAGACAGAAGTCTAGGCCCTTTACAGTTTACAAGCACTTCTTTTTTCTTTTTTCTTCTTTTTTTTTTTGCCATCTTTCTTCTCCTCTGAGGTCCTCCTCAATTCTGAGATGTACAGGAGCCATTCTCGGGGATAAATGAGCTTTACAGAAGAAAAGCAGGAAGCTGGAGGGGAGGGACGGAAATGGACTTAGAAGAGAAACCTCACATCTGGAGCCAGGCCTGAGCCAG